GCGCGTGCACACTTCTCTCTATAGGCGCGTTCACTGCTGCGAAGATGGCGAGTCTGCATCGTCAACTTTATCAATTTATCAATAATTCAAATGTTTCATGCATAGGCCTAATCATTACTTTTGCCGGTTTTGTGTGTCAAGCTTTATTTCAGGTGTTGCTTGTGATATCTCTGCGCCCAAGTATCAGTGCTTCGCCTGTGCTTCCAAAAATGCATTTGCCCACCTATCTAAATGTAGGGGAGACCGTGAATAACCCCAATTTTTTTAAAAACGGTGGACCGTTCCTTTAAGGCTAGCCTGCCTGGGCCTGGCCATATCTGAAACATCTCACTCAATCGTTCGTTGTTTAGGTCTATATTACAGCCGTTTTAGGCGTGCGCTTTATTTGAAATGCAGCATGCGATGTTGTTTAATAACTTTCAAACGGTAGAGGCTGTTCCTTTATAACATAGCCAAAAGTCGGTGTATTTTTGCTTTATACATTTTAGGCTTATTCTCAAATAAATTCATATTGTGTTAGGGGGGCGGGATTATTACGCAATTTTAATCGGACAATTTGACCGGAGAGATTTAATTTTGTCGGACATTTCATTTTTTTCCCGGCCAATGTCCGGTAATTACCGGACAACGGAAATCCTTGGCTGATATTTTGACCAGTATTTAGGAAAGGCTTGGTATATGGACTCAGTGTGTATGTTAAGAGAAAGAAGAAAAACAAGGAATCCACAAGACCAGAACACCATAGATTATTCATTAACCAGTCTATTGGTTTTACTTTCGTTATTGTCACTGTCATATTGATGTGACTTATAAAATGCAGTGCACCCATTAATGAACAGGGAAACATTTTCACAGCCATATTGCCTATACTAGTCTATTTGGAAATAAGAAAATTATAAAATATATTTAAAAAAATAATATATATATATTGCTAATTCGAAAGTAAAATGCGCACGGCTGCCCCGCCATTCGTAATGGCAAGGAGGAGAGTGAGAGTTTTCAATTAATTCCTATGGAAGTTGAGAAATAGGCACTTTTACATTTCACTTTGAAACCATCATCTTGTCAGTCAGCTCCTCGCTTTTGTACTGGTCTGTGATGCGACTCTCATTCGGCTCACACAGCATTGAGCAGACACATTCAGTTTTTAATTGTAGTGTCTATTCTCTAACTCAGTGTTTCCCAATCCTGCTCCTGAAGGACCCCCAACCCTGAACGTTTTCTTTGTCTCCGTAATCAAACACACCGTATTCAACTCATCAGCTCATTATCGCATATATCCCCATGTGATAATGAGCTGATGAGTTGAATCAGGTGTGTTTGATTAGGGAGACAAAGAAAACGTTCAGGGTTGGGGGTCCTTCAGGAGCAGGATTGGGAAACACTGCTCTAACTGAACAAAATTAATTTTATTACTATTAAAAAATTGAAATGGCGCAGTAGGCAAGTGATGTAACCGGAGTTGCGGCTGAACACCCATAACATCTATCGCAGCAAGCCTAATACATACACTCACCTAAAGGATTATTAGGAACACCTGTTCAATTTCTCATTAATGCAATTATCTAATCAACCAATCACATGGCAGTTGCTTCAATGCATTAAGGGGTGTGGTCCTGGTCAAGACAATCTCCTGAACTCCAAACTGAATGTCAGAATGGGAAAGAAAGGTGATTTAAGCAATTTTGAGCATGGCATGGTTGTTGGTGCCAGACGGGCCGGTCTGAGTATTTCACAATCTGCTCAGTTACTGGGATTTTCACGCACAACCATTTCTAGGATTTACAAAGAATGGTGTGAAAAGGGAAAAACATCCAGTATGCGACAGTCCTGTGGGCGAAAATGCCTTGTTGATGCTTGAGGTCAGAGGAGAATGGGCCGACTGATTCAAGCTGATAGAAGAGCAACTTTGACTGAAATAACCACTCGTTACAACCGAGGTATGCAGCAAAGCATTTGTGAAGCCACAACACGCACAACCTTGAGGCGGATGGGCTACAACAGCAGAAGACCCCACCGGGTACCACTCATCTCCACTGCAAATAGGAAAAAGAGCCTACAATTTGCAAGAGCTCACCAAAATTGGACAGTTGAAGACTGGAAAAATGTTGTCTCGATTTCTGTTGAAACATTCAGATGGTAGAGTCAGAATTTGGCGTAAACAGAATGAGAACATGGATCCATCATGCCTTGTTACCACTGTGCAGGCTGGTGGTGGTGGTGTAATGGTGTGGGGGATGTTTTCTTGGCACACTTTAGGCCCCTTAGTGCCAATTGGGCATCGTTTAAATGTCACGGCCTACCTGAGCATTGTTTCTGACCATGTCCATCCCTTTATGGCCACCATGTACCCATCCTCTGATGGCTACTTCCAGCAGGATAATGCACCATGTCACAAAGCTCGAATCATTTCAAATTGGTTTCTTGAACATGACAATGAGTTCACTGTACTAAAATGGCCCCCACAGTCACCAAATCTCAACCCAATAGAGCATCTTTGGGATGTGGTGGAACGGGAGCTTCATGCCCTGGATGTGCATCCCACAAATCTCCATCAACTGCAAGATGCTATCCTATCAATATGGGCCAACATTTCTAAAGAATGCTTTCAGCACCTTGTTGAATCAATGCCATGTAGAATTAAGGCAGTTCTGAAGGCGAAAGTGGGTCAAACACAGTATTAGTATGGTGTTCCTAATAATCCTTTAGGTGAGTGTATGTGCCAAATTTCAATGCTTTGGCCTTTAGGTTTATGTTTAAAGATGGCCATCTGTGAGCAAGACTGAATGGATTTATATGAAATTGTAACACTTTACAATACGTTTCCACTTGTAACATTAACTAAGGTTAATAAAAGTATTGTTCATATCAAAATTTACTAATAGATTTTTACATTTTAAAGTTGCATCTCTTAACAATTGTTAATGCACTAACATAAATAATGATCAAGGTATAATTAATATACATTTTATATTTAAAAAGTACAGTACATTTTCATGGTTACAATTTTTGTTCAGCACTATATTATGTTATGTTTGTTTTAAATCAGTAGGCCTATCCATTTTAAAAACTATCGGTTGATAATCGATTATCGGCCAGTGTGTTCCAACCTAGTTATTGTTATCAGTAAAATCCATTATCAGTCAACGTCTATTTAGCATGTTTAAATTATATAAATCATTACCACTGAGTGAACTGACGTCCACAAACTTACATTATGTTTAACCTAAGTCACATAAAGGCCTTAAACCTGAAAAGCACCATTTATTTTATTGGCATCCTTTCTCTATTGTATTTATTTGTGCTATTGTTATAGTGTGATTATTTGACAGAAGTCCTTTTTTTTTCCTGAACACAGCACATACTGAACCATACCGAAACAGTGAACCTAAAACCGTGACACAAACCAAACCGTGAGTAATTTGAACCATTACACCCCTTTAAACTTATAAAATTATTGATGACAGCTCAGTGACAATTTGACATTTTATAACAGTCAAACAAGTCTTTCACTAGGCTATACCTTTACATACAAATATGTATAAAAAATTTTTTTGTAAACATGTTTATGAATGAGAATTTATTTAGATTTGCTCCAAATAGATAATAGTTTTCTGAAGGATTAGAACATCCCAATGTCAGTGACTCTCCTGACACTTTTGGATTTTACAAAACCTAAGAATTAGGTTAAATAAGGCATTGCGGTCTGACACATTTCGAAATGCAACAGCACAAAATCATGCTTGCATAGGGACGGGAATGTGCAATTATGTATGTATAGAGTATGTTTCAGGTCTATGTCACACACACAGTGTACGTATTCCTCCACTTTATTAATCCCTTTTTATGTGAATTCCCTCTCTACTCCTCCTCACTGTCCACTAACACAACAGAATGACTGAAACCTAAAGCCATGTGGCATTACACTCCCTGCCAACTGAGGCAACCTGCATTTCTTACAGTCCAATAAATGCCTGCCAATTTCACATGGTGAGAGTGAAGCAAAGCCTCTCTTTGATTCAATAAGGAGAGAGAGAGAGAGAGAGAGAGAGAGAGAGAGAGAGAGAGAGAGAGAGAGAGAGAGAGAGAGAGAGAGAGAGAGAGAGAGAGAGAGAGACATCTGTCACCCTTTTGAACTTTTTTATTTTCCAGTCTTCCCTGACACACCCCTCTGCACTTCAAATGGAAATAAAGATAAACACCAGACCTAAGCTGGTACACCTAGTTATGCGTAATACTAGAAAAACACACTGGACTATGTCAGAAAACATTTGATTTTCACGTGCACAGCTCAAATTCCACACGTTTTCATTCAAACATGAGTCACTGATTGTATGTAACCTGGTTTGTGCACGGTCTTACAATCGGTGATCTGATGAAAAATAATGACTCCCGTGTGACTAAAATACAAAACGTGCAGAACTGATAAACATGATCTCATTATGCTAAGGTGGCACGATTAAATAGCTAAAAGGAATCAAAAAGCAGTGCGGCGTTGTCTTACATACTTTGAGGCGGTGAGTGTATCTTTTTGGGTGTGTTTCGCTGCAGCTGCACTGTTTAGGCCCTGACATGAATCCGCGCGACGCCGATACCGAGCGCGCGGTGAAGGCTTTGGCGTCGCGCGAAGCACAACGGGGCCTCGATCGATTACCTCAGTAAAACCGAATCGAAAATGCCATTTAATACACACATTCCAGGCTTTAACCTTAACACTGCAGCGAGTACATGTCAATGTAAAGTCAGTATGTAGTCACACCCTTGAAAACACGACTTATTCTGCTACACGAGGAATGACAGCAAATACATGCACAGAATAAATCACTCGTGTTTAAGGAAATCAATTAATTGTTAACATGGAAGCGTTAGAAATGACATATTATCCTAACTAGTTATAGCACAGCTGGGCAGGACTATATTAGCATGACAGCTAGCATTATATAGCCTCTTTTTCAAAACAGTGTTTACGTTGAAATAATGTAACACCACTGGCGACCTACCTGTCAGTTCATTGGCGTCGCTGCTTTAGAGGCTTGGTGTGTGTGACATTGGTTATCCTCTTTAATAGATTAGATGATGGCTTTAATCTCCGTTTCAATCTTTGGGTGGTGGGGTCTTGCTGCCGACGGCTCACTTAGCCAGTTAGCCTGCGTCCAAACTATGAATCTTTTGCCTTTTTTTTTACACACTCGAGTTAATAAAATCTGGGCGCTCTCGATAAGCGTTTAAATCTATATTCTGTCGCATATGACTTGATAAAGCTCGCGTAGCTTAAAGCTAACGACGGGTTTAACGTATTTTCACCTAGCTAAGCTCAGCGCAGCGGCACGAGCTCCAGTCCACATCCTCGAGCCTCCCAGAACAGTCTGACGTCCCCGCCCTCCTGTGCGCTCATTGGCCGAGAGCTGCTGTCGATCCATCCGGAGCTACCAATGAGAAGACGCAAGGAAGCGTTTGACGGGACTTGTCAAACTCACTCTTTCGAATGTCAGGTGTTTGTGAAAGATCGTGACGGACACCTGAACGAACGCTCTGGTGTACAGGAAGGAACGTGAGAAGAACGAGCAGTGGTAGGACTTCCAAACGGTTTATAATACTTTTAGTAATGAACTGACATACATAAACAGCTTAATGAAGGATAAAAAGTGACAAAGTGACATTAAATACGTGTGTCTGAGAGGGAGGCAGACAGACAAGACGCTTGTGTTGCTCTGAGGATTAAAGGGACAGCAGGAGTTTTACAGATAAGCGTCTCCCCCACCCACTCTAATATCCCCACAAATCTGACCAACATCTGTCACACCACCTCTTGTAGACCAAATAACACAAATCTACTGCTCAGTGTACAAAACACATTTAACAAGAGCACCCTGACAGATGCCTGGGTTAGACTGTAATTTACTGGGAAATATACAGGAAAACATCAACTCTCTGACATGCCTAGATATGGCCAAAATGACAATAAGTGTAAAAAATAAAGTAGCCAATAGAATACAGTATTATGTCTGGCAATGGGTTTGCACACTAAATCCTACATGATGTGTGACCTTTCAAACAAGTTCATCATAACAAATGCTAATCCATGGTCTTTCAGTAGACTCTCATGTATTCCTGTAAACAGACTCTGAATTTGGGCGTTCATTCAATTTTATTTCATGATCCCCAAGTTGAACAACAAGGGAACCTCAAATCAGAAATGTTGACATTCTGGACTCACAGATAAAGAAATTATAAATTCATTATTACTTTCAAAACCAACAAGGGAATTCCATTGTCATGCGATGAGATATTTACATGCACATGATATGGTAACCCCTGAGCTATTTTAATGCTAAGGTGAACACAAGGGACTAGAGATGAATACTAAAGACATAATGTAGAATCCAAGTGATATATTTTAATAATTGTAAATCCAATGAGGATAATCAAAATTCGATGACTAGATCGAAATACAGATGACTAATGTTGATCACAGAATATAAAAAAATAGCAAATAAAGAGACAAAATTTCACATTGACAAAGAACCACATGATTTTTAAACAAGACATGAGACACAAACAAATAGGACAAAATATAACAACAAATTGGGGTGCAAATCATCTAGTGCAATAGCCTGGAAGCCAGCCAAACTTAGCCCCGCCCACAACATTTGAGGTCGGGAAGTTCGGTCTGGACTTGATCCATTGTGAAGTATGCCCGAACCAAAGCTGTTCGGACCAATCAAATTGTCAGGGTGGGCTTTATACGATGATGGACAGATGATCAACCGTAATGTAATCATCCACGTCACCAAAGAGCACTTGGGTTGAATTCATTTACAACAAAGAAACACAGTTGTTTATATTATTTATACATTTATAAAATTTATAAATTTGTTACAACAAAACAGTTGTCAGAATTCATACAACTTCAATTAGACCTATTTACACAACACATTCCAAGACATCCATAACCTCGTTTTGTCATTTCATGAAGGAGGCTTAGTGAGGTGAAAAGGTTGTCATGTACAAAGAGATACACCCTGAAGGAACTTCCTCTTGTTCGGCTAGACCTCTATGGGCTAGACCAAGGAATACACTTTGGCCCTGTCCTAAGCCAGTTTCAGGGAGATGTGTGTGCACTCATTCAGTGCACTGAAGATGGGCCGTACTTTGTAGAAAGGGTTGTTTGTGTGGGGCACACCAATTGGTTCTCATGAACGTCTGCCTCATCCTCTAGATAGTTCACCTCTGCATCGCCATTCAATAATCTACCTGGGCAAATGGCCCGTTACGTCCTGTTACTCCCTATCTGAGCCATCACTATCACAGTCACTTTCAATTGCCTCTGTTTGCTGCCAGGGCCGTAGCTAGGGGATTCGGGGCCCGCTGAAAAAATATTGATGTGGGCCCCCACCACCCTCCACCAATATCATATACTGTACAATAGATGAACATGGAGGCCCACATAACAGAAGATGGTGATGTTGTTGTAAAACCTTTATTTTAAAAGTTAAATGTTTATATAAAAATTACAACTAATAAAAACTAACAAAAAAGCAAGAAATTGTTAAGTAATAATAAAACCAATTTTTAAAAAGTAAAACAAATTTCCCCATCAGTCTGTTATAATTCATAAATCAAAAAGTAAACATTTAGAAATTGACAAGAATGCAGTCTAATTCAAAAAATAAAACCATTCATTGTCTTATTTTTTAATAAAGATAATATGGAACTGGTAATATTATTAAATAAAGCGAATACATTTATTCATCCAAGTGCAGTGTGTTGTATTCGTGTTTTCTCGATGTTTTAAATATCATCAGCCGGCAGGTCAGATGCATAATGCAATGCGTCGTGACTCGTGTAATTTTTTTAAAACTCTAGTTACAATAATGTAAAAAGACAGGAATTTAGACCACGTAATCATTCGGTCGATTGCGGCGCGCACCGATAATAAAAAATGACTGTACACGGCAGACTGTAGACGGAAGTTTTCTAATTCCCAGCGAAATAACAATATATAACCGGTCTTTAAGAACGTCTTGATCGAATGGGATACAGCCACTCTCCTTGCCTCCCTCTCCGTCTTTTCCTGGCATTTCTTGTTCCCTGATTTATGTTTTCTTTTCCCCGACATTTTTCAGTCAGTTAGTCTCCTGCTCTTCCACCAAGTTCATCGTTAAGTTCAGGCTGCCGCCTCAACTCTGATTGGTTCTGTTCACGAGCTGGGGTGGGACTTACAATTTTATTGGGTCCATCTGATGTTTGTCACTGACTCTGACTGAATAATTAATAATTACTTTAGGTCGGACTGAACCATTTTTATGGAGGTAAGAGAAGTAGATATTTGGAAAAATATTTACCCAAATTCCACGTTTTTGTGGTTTTCATTTAAATCTCAGGCATACAACTAATATAAATATTAGAATTATTCATACTACAGGGGCCTAAATAGTATAGCTGTTGGATTTTGTGTGGCCCCCTGGGCAGCGGGGGCCCCTATAATTGTCACCACCTTTCACCCCACTAGCGACGGCCCTGTTTGCTGCACACACCACTTAGGGGGTCACGTACGTCTCTAGGAGGTCCAACACATCTAATAGTTTTTAAACGGTGTAAAAATAAACAATGGATAACTAACAGCCAAAACCTGTGTTTTCAATTGAAACACTGTGTTATACTACCAGTCACAATTGTGACAGTTAACAAATTTACACGTCTTACGAGCAAAATATATATGCTGGAGTATAAATATATCAGTATAGACCCTCTAAAGAATATACAAATTATGATAGTTCTATCTGTTAATTAAGGTGTTTTGTTTTACATACTACTTTTTGTCTGAGGAAGAAATCTTCTTCTAGATGTGCAAGCAGGAAGTAAACTGATCTGGTCATATGACGTTTCACACTAGTCACATGACATTGATACATTTTAATCAAGACAATCTATTTTTCATTTAAAAGTCGAATTTCTTGCCCAAAGCCAATAACAACACTTTTAGAGCTTCCAGAAAGAAGAAAAAAGATGCAGTCACAAATGTGCTCAGTATACTCTTTTGTGTCTCTCATTCTATGTATAAATATGTACAAAAAAAATCAGCATTTAGTCCTAGGATGATTATTAATGTGAGATGCACATGTTTCAATAGCACCACTATCTTCACTTAAAATGGGATAAAATACTCTGTTAGTTCATTTTATATTTAAAAGGGGTTTCCTTATTTTCTCCTCTGCTCTCATGTAATGTTTCTGTATTGTGTAGGCTTTTTGTACTGTGTCCAAGTATACATTATAAATGTCATATGAATGCTTAAATTGAAAATCTTCCAAAAATGTTTGATATGTTTAAATGAAAGCTCCAAAAAGTACAAAATCACCACAAAAGTGATCCATATGACTCGTGTGCCTATATTCCAGGTGTCATATTACAGTTGTAATCCATTGAAAATCATGTTTATTGGCAAAATTTACAGACTTTCGGCTGTTTGCAATGAACAAATCAAACAAAAGTAATTGGAATAGCTCAACACAACAAATGTTTCAAGTGGTTTCCCCAAATTCAACTGAAAAGGCAACTTTTAATGACTTCTGCAGTCTCAAAATCCTTCAACCCCCTGAACAGAATCACACATTAGCACAAATCTGCAAAACAGTTGTCGTCTCAAGAACACTTGATGCAGCTAATCAAGGGCATCATTAGTTGCATCAGGTGTGCTTGAGCTAGAACACATGAAATATCTGAACTGCTAGGTTTGTTGAGTGTCACGTTTGACTGCATGTTAGAAATACGGCTCATAAATATGGCAAAAGAATGGTCCAAAAAGTAAAGATAAAATAGCTTTACTTCACAAACAAGGAACAGGATACTAAAAGATAGCAAAGGCACTAAATGTTTCTATAGACACCATTGGAATCATAGTTCGCAAGTTTAAGGTTAAAGGAATAAATCATATAAATAAGCCACAGAAGTTTTGGGATTCTGTTTTGTGGAGCGATGAAACTAAACTGGAACTTTTCGGCCCTATGGATCAGCGGTATGTTTGGTCAGTGATGAAGCTGAGGCTTGCATGTCATTGTTCATTCCAACAGGACAATAATCCCAAGCATACCTCAAATTCCACCAAGGCTTGGTTGCAGAAGAAGTCCTGGAAGATTCTACAGTGGCATCACAGTCACCTGACTTGAACCCCATAGAAAATCTCTGGTGGGATTCGAAGAAGGCGGTTGCAGCACACAAACCCAAGAATATTCCTGAACTGGAGGCCATTGCTCATGAGGAACGGGCTAAGATTCCTCAGAAACGCTGCCAGAAGCTAGTGTCTGGTTATACATCTCGTTTGCAGCAGGTCAAAACAGCAAAAAGGTGTTCAATAAACTATTGAAGATGCTTGCCATGAAGGGGTTGAATAATTTTGAGACCGCAGAAGTCATAAAAAGTTG